TACCCATATGGGTCTAAACTTATACTACTTGCTTGACTCAGGAAGCCTATGTTGAAAACTAAATTTAAAAATCCAGAAAGGGCATCTGAAACCTACAGAGCCCTAGCAGTAAAATATTCGCTCACTCCGTGGGACACTTTCACATTTTGTAAGAGGGAAAAAAATTCACATGAATTCACAGTAAAAAACTGCAAGGTCTGTGAAAGAATAAACCACCACGAGGTGTGTCAACAGATAGAGGAGAGGGAGGAACCAGCAACCAGAGAACTGCTTATAAAAGACCACTCTGAAAGAGACTATAAAATAACTGTAACCAAATAACTATGACCAGATATAAGCAAAGGCATAGAAACCATATGAAAGAAGAAGACAACATAAAAATGGAATAAACACTTTTGAAAAAGAACCAAATTGATTCTCTAAAAGTGAAAAACAGTCACTAAAATTAAAACCAATGAACAGGTACTGAATAGTTGAGACAAAAGTGAAGGGAAAAAACCATAAACCAAAAGATTTGAGGAAAAATTTCAGAAGATAGGACAGAGAAACTATGAAACTGGTTAAGAGCCATGGAAAACAGATTGAGAAGGTTCAGTATAGAAGCGGAAATTCAAGTTCAAACTGAAATTCCAGAGAACAAAGAACACGGAGAAGAGATGATATTTAAGCAATAACACCTGAGAATTTTCTAGAATCAAACTAAAATATAAATCAGTCTTTAGACTTTGGACACATACAAATGCTCTAGCAGTGTAATTTTTAAATTTCACAATTTGATACAGTATGGCAAAACTTCAGAATGTCAATGATAAGGAGAAAAATCTTAAAAGCAACCAAAGCAGATGTTCTAAAAATGAGAACAAAAGCAAAACAATATCCAATTAGACCATCAACAAACTTGTCATCGGACACCATACACGTCTGTGAAATGAATGGCATCTTTATGCTGCTCAAAGAAAATAATTCTCATTCTAGAATTCTATACCTAGCTACATTTTTATTCCAGACTAAGAATGAAATAGATATCTCAAACCAACAAAGACTGACAGTTTACCACTCAGTGATTCTGTCCACAAGATCTATTATATAGGGGTTACTTCGGTAAGAAAATCAATTGATTCTAAAAGGAAGAAGTGGAGGGCAAAACATAAGGGTAGATAAAGATATTGGTAAACACATTGTCAAAAATACATAATGATTTATTGTTATCAAATAATAAATACTGGTGAACAATTTGGGAGGACTCTAAAAATAAGATGACACTAAAATAACAGTCCATGAAAACATGGAACATTGCAGAAGAAAATCTGAGTTTAAGGTCCTAAGGTCCTATGTTAGTTCTGAGGCAAACAGAGATATTACATTCTGCTGAGAATTTTTAATAAATAAAAAAAAGAACAGGAATATAATTTCCAAGCCAAAAGAGGGAAGTTAAAAGGAAGAAAAGAACCGGAGATACTGACAATCCAATAGAAGGCAGGAAATGAAGGGGGATGGGGAAAAAATCAAAAATCAAAAATTTAAGTTCTAAATAGAAAATCTAAAAACATAATGTTAGGTGATACATATGTAGGAAATAAATGTATATTTTAAATGTTAATATAAAATATTTTTAATGGTAGATATATGAAGAAAAATATAAAAACAAGATAGGAAAGACAGTCACCAATTTCAGAACATGGTTACTTCTAGAAGGGAAGGGAGGAACCTAAAAACAGGTATAAAGGGGCTTCAATGTATTTTCACATGTTTTTTCCCATAAAAGAAAGGAAGAAAAATGATGCACCACTCAATCCAGGGACAGTGCTACACAAATAGGCAACACAAGAAACTTCCCCATCAACAAGTGAAAAAGTAGAGAGAAACAGATACAGCAAGAATACATAGGAAATAAGACCTATTATGATGACTTCACCACAGTTTGTCTTTAGTTACTAGTATTGGCATTAGCATCCTAACTGCAGAGATTTGCTGGAAGAGAAAATGGATTTAATTTGAAAAAAAAATTGGTATTAGTGTGAAGGAAGGATAATGTGTCTCGAAGGATTTTTTAACAGCTCATAGGCATTAGTGTAGGTATTTTAAAATATGTCAGTATATGTATTTAGCATATGTATTTTAGAAGATGCTTGTTTCCTCAAAATGTTTACAAATATGAATAATTTCACTAATAAAATCTCCTTCTCAAGGCAAAGAGTAGACTGGTTCTCCAACATGCTGGTATGTAAATACTGGGGTGAAAATCTGCAAGTGGCAAAAACTCCCTCAGGATGCCAACTCCAAAAGCCTCTGGCTGAGGAGGGGGGCCCCCACCCGCTGCCGATCCCCATAATTCTGAAGAGGAAGAGGAGAAGGAGCAGGTAGAGAGGAGAGAGGAGGGGAAGGACGGGGATGAGTAGAGGCACTGTGCAGGAGAGGGGAGCACATGTAAAACTGCATAAACCACTCCCCTGCTTTTACCTACTTGTTCCCTGTTTCTCACCAAGGCAAAGGGTTGGAAGCAGAGAATGGGAATCAATTTCAAATGCAATTTCAGTTTTCCACGTTGTTTCCTCCCTTACCTTGGCCAGAGTCAGGAGAAAGTGGGGTGTAATTACATCTCTTCCAATTCAAGCTAGCCATGGGGATCTATCAGTGGGGAATTTTACTCATGGCTTTTATTGTTAAGTTTATGGCAGCTGAAAATACAGCCCTGTCTTTTATCTTTTCTCCAACTGATGACAAAGATTTTCACCCAGACACCAAGACCATCAGACCTGATATTCTGGACTAGACCAACAGACCCTTCACTGACTCCAGGAAGGTACCCTGAATACTTGTAGGACTACAAGATAATATTCTCTGCCACTCCAGCCAGAAGTGTGATTCTGAAATGTCATTTCCCCCACAGTTCTCTTTTTTTATTGAGGCATAATTTTCATGTTATTAAATGCATATATTTTAAATATACAATTGTATTCATTCTGATGAAGCTAAACACCCACCCCAATCAAGGTACAGTGTAAAGTCATTTTTAAAATAAACTTATTATCTGAATGGATTCAATAGCAATGAAACACAATAACATATTTCCAAATATCTTGCATTTACAATCTTAGAGCATCTAAAACTTGAATATAATGAGCTACAGTGTAGTAAACAGTACATTTTACTCCACCTATAAAAATAGTTCTCTTTTCCACATACATTTAGATAAGGAACAAAAAATGCTACAAATCACTGATTTGTACAAATCTTAACGTTTGTGTACTGAAAAGTGATTAATCACACTTTATTTTCTTTTCAAATTTTCTTATACCGCCCCATGAATAAGCCAATACACCTTATCGTCTGTCCTCTCTGAAAAATCTGGATTAACAGCCTAGGCCGAATTCCATTCTAGCAACAAGATACATAGCTACCAACAGTTCTCTTTAAGTCTAAGGAAAATAACATACGGGGGAACACCTTACTCTGAAGTTCCTTTATTTTGGTTTAAACCTCTCTTAAGAGGCTCTTTTCAAGTCTTTGGAGCATTATTAAATGATCCTACTATTGATTTTCCGTGCTTAGTGCTGGTGAAAATGGAGTGACTTGAAGCCTAATGACTGAAGTCCACTCACTATCTAAAGGACAGGTACAAAGGCAGAGGTCCACAGAGCTCACTCCTCCGACCATCCTCAGAACTTAGATTCCACTGCCTGGAAATAGGACAAGTGGGAAATAGGACACGGAATTCAACTAATCTCTCTTACTTAAATATAGCACTGCTGCTATTTCTGTTACTTATCTTGGGAAATGTTGTAAGTATTGGTGTATTTTGCTCTTTGGCATGAAGCTGTATGCTTCATTTCTACCACTGAAATCCAAATTCACTTTTAGGAAAGCATTCCTCTATTTTCACCTTCATTTTCTGTGGACCATGTATTTGTGATACCAAGCCACTGAGTAATTAGAGGTTACAATCAGAATTTGTCATGCCAGTTTCCATCTTAAAAAGTTTTTAAGACAAAACAAACCAGTTTTTTAAATGGGCAAAAGAAATGAACAAGCATTTCACATAAGAGGGGTAACAAAGGATAACATAAATAAAAACCACAATGAGACACCATTTCCATACCTTCAGAATAGAAAAAAATTTGTGCTCTGCCAATACTAAGCACTGATGGGACTATACAACTACAGAAACCCCCGTACAAATCGGTGTGCGTGGGGGTGTCCAAATGGGTAAAGACTTTGAAAAACAATTTGTATTTAGTAAAATTTATGTGCATACTGTATATCCCTGCTCCTTTTCCTAAGCATATTACATATACAGTTGATCCTTGAACAACACAGATTTGAATTGCTTGGGTCCACTTACATGTGGACTTTTTTTGATAAATACACTGAAAAACTTTTTGGAGATTTGTGACAATTTGAAAACACACTTTTCTCTAGCTTACTTTACTGAAAGAATACAGTATAAAAAACATATAACAAACAAATTATGTGTTAATCAATTATTCATGCTATCAGTGAGGCCTCCAGTCAACAGTAGATTATTAGTAAAGTTTTGGAGGAGTCAAAATTATACATTGATTTTTAACTGTGCAGAGGTCAGTGTCCCTAATCCCCTAGTTGTTCAAGGGTCGACTGTATGCTAGGTGGTAGTAAATTTGTGTTAATATTCTCAAGTGTGGTAATTCTGAAGTATTTAGAAGTTAAATGTTAAGATGTCTACGACTTTAAAATGGTTTAGCAAAAAAGATGTGCAGAGAGAGAGGGAGAGAGCAAATATGACAAAATGTCTTTTAAAAAGCAGGCGCAGGCTCTGGGGGCAGAGTCTGCAAATTTGAATCAGGGCTCTGCCACTTAATTATTGTAATCTGGGTAATTTATTAAGCTTTCTCTACCTCAGTTTAATGACCTGTGAAGTGGGACTAATGGTGGTACGAACTTGCTTGAGATGTGAGCATTAAATGAGGTTAACAGAGCAGTCACTGCTTTGTCATAAGCCTTCAGTAAAGGTTAATAATTACCTTTGTTGGCTCCATTTTGCAGATGATGTAAACTGAGACTCGGTAAGTGAAGCAACTTGTTCAGTCACATAAATGGCTGCTGGTGGTCAGAGCTGCAAGAGCTAGAGTGGAAAGGAAGTTCTACTAACCCATCCGAGTCGCAAAGCAGCTCTGATAAACAGCAAAAACTTCAGACAACCCAGATGTCCATCTATTGTGGAATGGATCTAAACTATTATTGCAGTTCTATACTAAACTGCTATACAGCCAGGGAAGGAAATAAGACGCATTAAGATGAAGAAAATAAAAAGAGTTAAAATAAAGTAAAGCTTTTATTTTACCCCTAAAGATTTTAGCTGCTACAGCAATAAGAAGACACAGTAAGTCACTAAAACTACCATGAAGAAAACAAATGGAAGAAAGGTTTTTGGTTTAACCACTTTGTACTTCACCACAGTGCTTCCTGCAAGAGCAAGAAAGACAACCCTCATGCTTAACATGTGAATAGTTATATAAACCAAATAATTCTTCCTACAATGAACTAACTTGTGGCCATTAAAATTGTGTTTTAAAATGAATATTTAGTGTCATGGTAAAATGCTCACTACATAATGTTAATTTTAAAAACAGGATTCCTTGTATTTTAAATATAAAACTTTAAATATAAAAATATATACAGACATATAAACTTGTATGTATATGTACACATATATAAATACATATAATGAAATAAACCCAGAAGAATAAACCTAGAAGTTTACACATACACAAAAATATTTTTAAAATTAAAAGTGGGCTTCTTTGGACGGAAAGATGGGGAATGATTTTTCCTTCTTTTTTTTCATCTGTAATCTGCATTGTCTTATATTTCTAAAGTAAAAATGCAAAACTGATGACTCTGGAAAGCAATCAGGCAACATCTAATAAAGTCGAAGATCCTGGGTGATCCACATGTCTGCCAATGAGATGTATACAAAACCATCTAGCGACATTGCTTATAATAGAGAAAAACTATAAATGACCTACATCCATCCACCACAGAAGCATGGATAACTACACAGTGGATATCCAGATAGCAGTTAACAGGAAGGACGCAGAGTTACTGTAATCAAGGTGGGTATATCGCACAAACATAATGTGTGGAGTGATGGATCTGAAAATTGCAGAAATGTAGGTGCCCTATGGTTCTGTTTGAAGATTAAAAACATGTAAAATAACACTATATGATGTTTATGTGCATGTACATATGTAGGAAAAAATTTTTTTAATGCATCGGAATGCACCAAATGCAGGGTAAAGGTTATCTGTGGAATGTGAGGAAGGAAAATGAGATTCGGAAGGCGGACACATAGGGTGGCGGGGGGGACATCAAGTGTACCTGTAGCGCTTTGTGTCTTGGACTGAGAGTTGAAGTACAGATGTTTGTTATATAATTTTCTGCGTGTGTGTGTGTGTGTGTGTGTGTGTGTGTGTGTGTGTGTGTGTTGGAGGGAGTCTGAACTGTTTTACAATAAAATAGTACTCATATAATGAGATGAAAATTTTAAATTAAGGTTATCTCTACAAATATAATTCCTTGGGGGTGCAGTCATGGACTTTTGGTCCTACTTTTAAAAATATTTTTACATCTTTATTTTTGCTAAAAACAAGATTTCCGATGCAGAACACTTAATTTCTGCAAAAACCGAAATTATTTTTAATAAGAGTATTTGATTGCAATTACTATCCAATTTTGTTTGGAACCCAAACTATATCCACTGGGGGAAAATTAAAACATATGCCCTCTCGCTAAAATGTATTTTTAAAAGGGCGTAAAGAAAAGCACTAAGAAGTTGTAGTCATTTTATTCTTCCAGCATATTCTAACTTTAGGGGGAAATGGCTCAGAGCAGCCCGTGGGTGACTAAGCCATGCTCCCAGCCCTGGTCGACTTTGTCAGACGGCAGAATTACACATTTGCACGTGGTTAAACAGTTTCATCAGTGAGGCAGATTTAAACGAGCTTTAAAAGCAGGAAAAGAAAACATTTGGTGCATTCCACATTTTCCCTTAAGTATACTGTACCTTCAAGTCATGCTGCATTTTGCATTCCTCAGAGCTCCAAAACACTATTTAAATTGTGCACATAAATCACTTTATTCCGGGTGAAATACGGCTGTCTCCTCCAGCAGAAACTAAGGGGCGACTTGTCCCAAGCGGCTACGCCCAGGGGTGAGGACCCAGCGCAGCCAGAATCAAAGGCAGGTGATTTGAAGGAATCCACATTCTGCCTTGAAGGCTGAAAAATAGGTGGAAGTACTTATCTTTTTCTATTACCCATCCACCACAGTCTTTGGGTTAAAGCTCTCGTTTAAAACACTGGGAATTCCTACCTCCGAACTACATGATCTCAGCAATTGGAGCTGGTGGGAAATGTGGGGTTACAAGGGCAGAAAAGAGCATCAAAAAGTTGGATTGAAGGGAGAAACTCAAGGGTAAAGATGGTAAAGGTTACAAACCCAGGAATTAATAAAGAAGTAAGTGGACGGGCGACTGTGCCACCGCAAAAAAAGACTTCCCTTTTACCAGAGTCCACCATGGCGTTCCTGGAACTCACAGACGCGGCTAGACTGACAATAGTTTGTTTACATCGCGCACCCGGGGGAGACACAGTCCTGCGTTCACCAGCCAACGCCAGCGTTCTAGACGCTTCCCTGGTGGGGAGCGGCCGGAGGGGGCGGAGCGAGGCTGCGGGCCTAGAGGGGGGGGCGGGGCGGGGATGCAGGCTCGGGAGGGGCTGTGAGGGCGGGGCTGCGGGCCGGTGGGCGGGTCCCTGCGGTGCTCCTGGGCCCTGCCCAACCGACACCAATCGCTGGGCCGAGGAGGTGCCACCGGGAGTGAAACCGTTTCTGGTGCCCGCCTACCCACGGGTCTGGCAGAGGAGGGCCGGCCGATACTCGGCATGAACCTGTGAAAGAAGCCCGGCGTCTGCCCGGCTCGTCCGAGGGCCTGCAGACTTGTGCACGGTTTCTGCATTGCTAAAAAGGACCTCTGAGGAACCTAGGTAATTCCAGCCCCAGACCCTGCCCCACCCACCCCAACACACACGCACTCACCTTCTGATACGCACAACAAACACACTCACACACCGGGTCGGTAGGAATTGCTAATAGACGCCCCTCCTTTCCAAGCAAAGTGCTTAGTAGCCGAATTCAGCAGGAAGGAATCATCCTCTGAAGGCCGCCCTCGCTGCAGGCCCTCCCACGGGAGATGGGAGAGGTCAGCCCCTGGAAAAGTCTGGAAGCTTAGACTTCCCACGGCCAGCGAGAGGGGTCCACTTCACCTTTGGCGAGGACAAAAATCACTCCTTCCTTTTGGGCCTGGCTTTTCCCGTAACTAAAAGGGCTACTTAAAACGTGAAATTTTTCTGCATTTTATTAAATTGCTTTCTGTTGGATCATAGTGGGGTCTTAGTTCGGAATTAAATTCATCACCTACTATGACAAAATGCACCATCTGGGCACTTCCACAAAAATTAACACACAGGGGAATGGGTTTGCTGTTGATATCTGCCTAGGAAGATATGAAAAAGGGCTTAGTGGGCTGTGCTTTTGTATAGTCTTACAGACTAGCTCCTTGGAGGACTAGCCATTTAAACCTCAAGTTTCAGTACCATGTAAATTAGAAGTAACTTCACCCTTGACTTACTAATTTTCTGTCCAACTGTTTCTCATGAGCCATTTTCATTTCCTCCTTTTCCTACTATTCTCTGCCTCTTCTTTCTGTTCCCTCCCCGCCCCTGGTCACTTTTTTCTAGACTCTGGAAGTATGGACAGGAGGGAGGATTAAAGGGGCTGTAAGCAGGGGAAATCCTATCCAGCGGAAGAGGACCAGGGCACAGCTGGGACTTGTGTTCCTCCTGTCAAGTTAACTGTGGTACAAGAACCAGCTGGGTTGGGTCCGGACATGCTTTTCTCTTTTGCAGCTCAGAGAATTTTTGTCACTTTAACGTCAGTGATCTTTGGTGCCCCTGAAGGCAAGTAGTACACCTGAATCGTAAAGCTTCAGATGAGTTGAGTTCAAAGTTTTATTTTCCACTTTTAAAGCCCTCAATAAATTAGGGCAAAGGTAGTTGGAATCCAGCCTCTTACCCTGGCGTGCCTCTGGGATTATGAAGGTTGGCTAAGCAATCTGCTCTTGAGAAACCAGGTGTAACAAGACCTGGGTGGAGGGATCTGGAGGTTGTTTGTGGAACTTTCTCCTCCTTTGCAGTTTGTGCCAGAGTCTTTCTGGAGCAATCCTACAAGCTTTGCCACCAGAACTACTTGGGTCGACCTGCCTTTGTTATGCAAGTTGCAGAACACGAAGCTTCCCTGCCAAGTATTCCTGGCTGGAATGTGAATGATGAGAGGGGTCACTGTGAATTCTGGACTGCGGGCTTAAGATACCTCTTCCCTCCCTCCACTGCCTTACCTCCATCCCTGTCCTCTTTAGAAGCCTAGCTAGCTAATGTTTCAACTTAGAAATAATGCTTCAGAGCTCTACCACCGACTTGAATCTTTAGGTTAAAGTGATATAGTCAAAATGAACATCCTGCACAAATCTAAGTTGACTCTAAAGCCAGTAATTAACTCTTACTGTTCTGTTTCCCTTATCTTTATGTGGAATCGTATTTTGTCCTGACTCTCTCATGTTTTTACATTTCTAGCAAAATAGTTACATCTTTCTAAGATTCTTTTAAAAATTACAGTGTGGGGGATAGTCAGCAATTCCTGTTTTTTTCCCCTGCATCTGTCTACCTGCAAATCTCTTGCGGCTGCAGCAACTAACAGGCTTTTGAATCCCGGCTGCAGAGATGCCATTTGGTGTAATTTTCCAGGTTGTGCTGTTTCCCCAGGGAGAACTCCTGGGATGTATGTTGAGACAGGAAGGGAACTTAGGGCAACAGAAGGAAGGTGGCTTAAGGTGGCTTTATTGCAAACCCCTGGGATGGCCCCACAACACACCAAAATCCTGTCCTGGATGATCTGTCTATTCAAATCAGGTTCCAGACAATAACAATGACCAAAGTAGGTGGGAGTGAGAACTGTGGTCAACCCCCTGTGGAATTGTCGACCTGCCTTTGTTATGCAAGTTGCAGAACACGAAGCTTCCCTGCCAAGTATTCCTGGCTGGAATGTGAATGATGAGAGGGGTCACTGTGAATTCTGGACTGCGGGCTTAAGATACCTCTTCCCTCCCTCCACTGCCTTACCTCCATCCCTGTCCTCTTTAGAAGCCTAGCTAGCTAATGTTTCAACTTAGAAATAATGCTTCAGAGCTCTACCACCGACTTGAATCTTTAGGTTAAAGTGATATAGTCAAAATGAACATCCTGCACAAATCTAAGTTGACTCTAAAGCCAGTAATTAACTCTTACTGTTCTGTTTCCCTTATCTTTATGTGGAATCGTATTTTGTCCTGACTCTCTCATGTTTTTACATTTCTAGCAAAATAGTTACATCTTTCTAAGATTCTTTTAAAAATTACAGTGTGGGGGATAGTCAGCAATTCCTGTTTTTTTCCCCTGCATCTGTCTACCTGCAAATCTCTTGCGGCTGCAGCAACTAACAGGCTTTTGAATCCCGGCTGCAGAGATGCCATTTGGTGTAATTTTCCAGGTTGTGCTGTTTCCCCAGGGAGAACTCCTGGGATGTATGTTGAGACAGGAAGGGAACTTAGGGCAACAGAAGGAAGGTGGCTTAAGGTGGCTTTATTGCAAACCCCTGGGATGGCCCCACAACACACCAAAATCCTGTCCTGGATGATCTGTCTATTCAAATCAGGTTCCAGACAATAACAATGACCAAAGTAGGTGGGAGTGAGAACTGTGGTCAACCCCCTGTGGAATGAGCTTGTTGATTTTTACTGATGCCTGCCTTTTGAATAGAGTGGAACTGAGAAAAAACAGGGCGTCTTGCCGGAGGAAAACAAAAAGAGAAAGTGAACCACTTATCAAAGATAAAGGAGATCTTTCTTACTCTGCTTTATACAGTGATCTAAACCTCCTGCAAGCCAGACCCACAAGATATACAAGCCCAAATTGATGAGAATATCATGCTGTCAGCAACATGGGGTTTGAAAAAAGCTGAGCAATGACTCCATTCCTCATGACTCTCCAGGACATTCTCCGGTGATCTTCACACTGACACCAGCTGCTTCTCCACCTCCTGTTATTTACTGCAGGGTGTTCTGCTTGAAGGAACGGTCTCCTTTCTACTTTATTCCAATATAGTGGTCATTTTTATATCGCAGTGGTCCCCAAAGCATTTTACAGAGGAATCTAAATCCATCTATTATGGGAAAAACACAGACTTTCAAGGAACTGAAATGAGAAAATCCTCTGGCTGAAATAATTTATCCTTTATTTCACAAAGTCTCTCGGTAACAGAGAACCTAGCTGATGAGTGGGAAATAGTGGTGAAAGTCACAGGGAAAATGACCCAAAGATTATGTTTTGTTTTTGCTCTCTTGGTACGCTCTCAACCCATTTAGAAAGCAGTGATATTCAAAACTGGGTAGTCTTTTGCTTACAGCCATACAAATCAACATTGAAATGTGTCCTTAAAAAAATAAAATGAAAGACCAACTCTTAATTACTTGAATCATGGTGCAAAAACTGTTATAACCAGCAGGCCAAGGGACTGTTCAAAGAAGAGATAATGAACTGGACTGAAGGAGAGATACGGGGTATTGATCTAAGTTACATATTGTTTCCTTTCTCAAAATTCTTTTTGGCAAAGATTAAATTGCACCAAATATCTATCAGTCTTATGATGACAAGACTAGCAAACTTGTTGCATTAAATACTCCCTTCCTTTACAACTGTCCAAACAGGATTTTTCCATTTAGTAGTGTATCAGTCCATAGTTATGATTATGGTGTAATTTTGGAGATCCCTTGTATCAAATATTAATATTTGTATAGTTATTAAAGTATTTGGTGATTTGTACAGAAACTCTAAAATATAGTATGTCATTTATAATCTTAGGAAAGACTAAAACTGTAAATGAAAAAATTATTTTCTAACCATTAGTTTCTGCTGGAACAACTTGTAAGATGACTTACATTTTTAAGTGGTACATATAATCATAAAATGCTTTTTTAAGTGCAACACTTAAGCAAAATCTTTTACATTACATAATGCAGTAGTTTTCAGACTGCATTTATCCAAGAACTCTTTTCCAAATAAAATACTAAGTAGGAGGCAAATAAATAGAACATAAAAACAAAGGTGTTGGGGACAGTGGAGGAACAGATGTTAGTCCTTTCAACCCTCCACAGGGCCACGCGAGCACCTTTGAGGAATGCTGAATTCTAGGAAGTGTGGAAGCCAGTGCACTATTGTAAGACGTATTAAAAAGTAAATAAAAGGCACTGTTTCGATGACACCCCTCTTCCTGGCAACTGCATATATGTAGGTATATGTTTCTGAAATATTCAATTACTATCTGGTTCCTGTCTCTGTCATTCATGCTCTCAAGCTGCAACCTTTGTGGCATTTTATGATAGTACAAATGGATTCTGTGTCTATGAATTTCAAATTCTAAGTTTTTAAAAATCCTAACGGTACAGACAAGGCCAGAGAGCATGTTACGCCAAAATGTATGTGACCTGATGAAATTACTTGCATAAATTAGAATAACAGCAACATC